TGTCATCCAAATCCAATACGATAAAGTCATCGTCATATTGGGTATCTTCTAGCGTATAGTGGATCTTCACTATACGCTTCATGACGGTTACGGATGCGCCTGTCGCAAGACGTACCGTCATCCTCGTAGGAGGTGTGTCACATTCACTGAACTTAAAGTGACCATCTTCTAGCGATTGGCGTCGCACAAAATTGTTGGACGCCCCACAATCGACTAGAGCTCGAAGGGACAACTTATTCGTCACTTCGAGTTTCAAGGTAATGAGTGAGTCCTCATTACCTAGAGCAGCAACGCACAACGTTTGTGCGTTGGGAGCAACCTTCATCAAGAGGCCTACAAATTCTCTTGACGTTGCTGGACCAGTAGGGTGCTCCGCACCTACTGATCCTGACCGTTTTTTGACGGTCCATCCCGTTGTTGCGTCTTCGCACCAACAGCGGACCCGCGTCCCTGCCCCTTTCTCATGGGTGGACGGTCACTACGCCCAGCGTTGCGAGACACTGGACGAAGGGCACTACACTCATAAGCGTAGTGTCCTGTCTTCTGACATCTGTTGCATTTCTGCAACTTCTTGTAGTCTGTAGAGCGAGCCTTCTCGCTCTCTACATAACAGAGTTCCATCGGCTCTGGACCTCCGTTGTCATATCGTCTCGGTTGACGATATGATGTCGACCTGGCGCGAGCCTGTATCAGACTGAAGTCTTCCTGTTCCGCAATGGAAATGGCTTGTTCTAGTGAATCTAGTTCAAGCCGGAACAGGTGAGTCTTGACGGGACCATCCGCAAGACCCTGCATGAACACCGAAACCAACGTGTGTTCATCCACCGGATTGGAACTTATACAACTTGTGAGATGTCGTATATGTTGCGCGTAAGCGTGCACATCACGCTTACCCTGCTTGAGCTTCAAGAGTTCGGTTCGAGCTCTGAACTCAGCTCTAGGCGGTTCAAACGTTTGTCTGAGCCGCGACTTGAAGACTTCCAACGACCCAAACGCATATGGGTCGTGCAAATTGAGCCCCAGTGCCCAAGTCTTGGCACGTCCTGCCAGATTTGACTGGGCAAATGCAACTTGCATTTCCCCATCGTCGATGCGACGCGCCCTTATGGCGTCATCCAATTCGACGAACCATCTCAAGAGGGAGTCCTCTTCGACTCCCCTATACTTGGAGATGTCAATCTTCAAGGTCTCGGGTCGACGCGAGTGCATCGACCCACCAGCAGCAACCTGCTGCTGTCTCAACAGTTCAAACTGTTGAGCACCCTGTTCTCTCAACAACTCTGCTTGTTGAGAACCTTGTTGGTGAAGCAAGGCTACTTTCTCGCGTTCAGCGTCAAGTTCATTTTGAATGAACTTGACGATAGTAGCATGTTGGGCATCTCTGTCGAGAGCCTCTAGCATGACGCTAACAGCATGGATGCCCATGGTTGAACCCATCCGTTCAACCGCATCCCATTCGACATTGCTCAAATGGGAGTAGCCGTCACGCGTAGCGTGAAAGCTTTGGTCATCTTCATCATCCAACATATTCATGTTAGATGTGAACGTGGTCCTTGGACGGACTACGAAGTGCTAGTAGGTGTAACGGGGCACCCTGAAGCTTGTACTGGTGACAGTACAAGCTACTTATTCTGATGACAGAATAAGGCGGTGCCTCGTAACTTCACGTACACTCGTACGTGCAGAGGAGGACGGTAAGAAGAAGCGAGTACTTGGTTAAAGTAAAAAGCAGAACTGTATTTATAATAGTTAATGTCTGCAATAAATCACTATTTATCTTCATCTAACTATGTCTAAATACAAATGTGTAAATCAACTATTTGCTCACCACTCATTGCGTGCGTCTGTCGTGGCGCGTCTTCGTTGGTTGATATAATGGCCTATATCAACCAATTAGGAACTACTCGTAAGTGCTACAGAATGTTTGTCCTTATGACAATATTCTGAGAATATAACTCTTATAGTTATATTCTATTAACAATTTCTTATAAATTGTTATGTAACGATTCACCCCGTTACACCTCACGCTGCGCAGAGGCGAGGTTCGTGGAACAATAATAGCCTAATTTTGAACCTTAGATGTATTTGTGGTAGTGTTGATCACCACCATACTGGATATAGCCGGTGGAAGGGGGCCAGAACAACCCGTACATATCTTACACTATTCTACGCTTTGAGGAAGCCTCAATGCCCAAGTCTTAGGTATTAAGTACTTTTAACTCTGTTTTATATTTTGTCTTTTAATCATCCTAAGTACGAATGGTTCCTATGGACTCATGGGAACCACTCAATCTACGTGCCTATATCTTACTGGCTAATAATAGTACTGGGCCCATTAAACCAGCTAAAATATACGACGTGCTACTTTCGCTACTTCGAAAGCAACACCCCTACTTAAGTAACATGTAAACTTAACCTAAACTAGTTATGTAACAGGGTGGCACATTACAGCCGGTCTCCAGCATACCTGAATATACCTCACCTTCTATTTCAAGAAATACTATCCTATGGCTTCGCGCCCTCTGTATTGGTGGTGCAAGTAAAGGAAAGCCTTGGTATGGAAATTGCTGCTCATTGATATAGTCAATCTTAGGGGGCATGTCTGTAGCCACGATCAGCCAACGATAGCTAATAATGTTCGTAAAAAAAAAAAGATGGGCAACTAGCTCATTGCACATTTTTCATACGGCGTGTTGATCAACTATGTTCGTTGATTAACATACCCTATAAAAATGTGTACTATGATGCATAGCCCTGTGCGTGCTACGATCTGTGTAAAATTTAACTATGACGATATTGGCCGTGGCTTACATTGCCGCGCGTTGCACTTAGTATACAAAGCGCACAAGCGAATGGATCTATGAAACGTAGCTCTTGATTCTCGCGGACAACTGAATGAGTCAAAGCATCTCCGCACAGGCTATTCGGCCCACAGTTATAAAGAAAAGAAGCGACAACTTATCGGAGTATTCTTCATTGTAGTTTTTTCTGCTCAGCTACTCTGTTGACAGTGACTTTTTGTTGATCATCATCACTCACAAAGCACCAATCATTCAGCGCCACGGCATTAATACCATCCCTTTATGCATACCAGTATCGCGCGTTTTGAGGCCGTCAAAAGCTTTGCCGAAGTCATTAACTTTTACTCAGAGGATGGAGAGGCATGCAGGTTTTGTATTTGGCCAAAAATATTTAAGCTAAGAATTCTTGGCACGAACCGCGATAATGTTTGCTTTGACAGTCATATCTACTAATTCTTCTGAAGCATCAATGTAGGGGGTATGACAATCACGAAGTTAAAAACTATACTGCTTGACAGGTTTTAAGGTTCAAGGGGTATCTACGTCACAACCTCACCTGATTAGCCATTGGTGGTGGCAGCGAGGTGACGACCTGACCTTTAGGATAAGACCACACGGTTGCGACGCGATACCACCGTATGAGATGGGCAGGGAGGACGAATGCTATCAGACAAGTACATGGTCAAGTTGCAGTGCAGTTTGGGTGCATGTCGTAGCATTGATAAAGGAGAATAGAAAATGTTGAATGTAATTTACTTTTACCTCTAACCACCTCTGCACAAGTGCAGATCGAGACGCATCATGCATCAACAAACGTGTACATTCCCGTGCGACAAGTCGTGCTGCACCCTTTGCTCGCAGTAAATAAACACCAAACGAACTTAAAGTATCATACTTGTAGCAGTCACGCTAAGCGTTGTGCGGACGCAAGTGGAACTTAAACGCTTAAAAGCTACCGGTGTATCTGATCGCAAACCGGTCAAACAATACTTTGTAAAGCTCTTTTTTTGTGAAGTATAAGGCAACACTTTTTAATAAAGTTGATTGGAGGCACAGAAACGTTATTTGGGCTTCCATTCAAACTCTAACGTACTTTGCTTTCATTATAGCTCCCTATTATTCCGGTTCTGACTTGCGCGAATGCATAACTCGGGTGGTCCTACACACTTTGCCTGGCTCATTTGTGCAAGAACCTACCATCTATACGTCGTCCGCTGTTTAATAACTTTTCCACGCAACTTTGCGATGGCTGCTCACTGCATCTCGCATCGATGCCTTTGTAGGCGATCGCCTGAATTTGTCATGTGATCAGTCATCTTCCACTGATAAGCTATGGACAACTGAAGCGGATATGAAATGGGAAGATATTAGGTCAAATTCTTTCGTAGGGGTGAATCGGATTCACGTAGTCACTTCATACCGGAGACGTAAGTACATTTTCGTGTGGTCTAGTCAATCGCGTATCATTGTTGCTAAATGTAACGCATCTGCGAGCTATCGCCAGCACTGTGAATGTCATTCGCGGACTGGTCGTTAAGACCCCAAAATGATGATTCCTGGCCACTGGATGCAACACGAGCGCAACTTTCATACGTGCTTCTTTTGTCCGAGTGTATTACAGGCACCACCGTTGATTGCAAAAAAGCAAGTCATGGCTATAGAACCGAGTGATTGCATGTGAAAGTGAGCTCCTTCAATTGGTATCAATGCGAGCATGAGAGTACTCGATTACGAGGGAGTCCATAGTCAGTTACAGCTGCTTGAGCTTCAGATTCAACGAAGTAGAACAGCTTCGTGCCGTCTGAAATTCTACAACATAAACAACTTTATACGACTGCTGCATAGATGGTAAACACTCTAGAATGATGTTCTGTTCGCGCAAATCCACCTGTCCCTTCCAAAGCTTTCACTGATTTATTGATCCTGTTAGCAGCTTATTATCAGAGGGGTGCAGAAGCGAAAAATGGGTCCGATTTCGCATCGTACACGGCTTCACAATTGGAATGAAGCTCGGATCGGTATTCGTGCCAAGCCAAAGTTTAGTTGTCACGTAAGCCTTTAGTCGTCACCCGAATAAACCTCGAGTTATGGTCCACCGCGGTTACGGCGTCACGTCCGCCTTCGCACCGTCCCTCCTCCGCTCCGACGCCGTCTTTCTGACCAATCGCAGCAGCTCTCACTGTCCAATCCCAGCGCAAGATGAACATCGTGTTCGTATGCACGAGCAATACATGCCGGTCGCCGGTCTCGGAGCACTTTGCCGTCGAGTACTTCCGCCGCAAGCTCAAGATGTCGCGCGAGCAGCAAGAGGAGAAGAGAATTGTCATCCGCTCGGCGGCGTACGTTGTTTTTTGCACTCTTTGTTTTGGTATTGCACAGCAATTGAGTCCCTAACACTTGAGCCGGTCGTGCAGGTTGACGGACGTATTTGATCCCGAGGGCTCCCCGGCGTCTAAGTACGCAGTGGACGTGATGAAAAAGTACGGACTGGACCTGTCAAGTCACTGCTCGAAGCTCCTGACCGAGACCATGTGTCTCGAGGCCGACTATGTCGTGTGTGTGGCGAGTGGACTGGTGTCGAAAGTCATGGAAAAGTTTCCACCGGTCAAGGAGCGGGAGGGCGTCTTGAGTGCTTTCACGTGGGACGTGCCGGATCCGTGGCACATGTCCTATGACACGTACATGGAGAGTGTGGCACAGGTGGAGGAGATGACACGGGACTTTCTTGATAAGCACGTGACGTGGTGAAGAAGGTGGACGGGGTTGTGGCGGCTACATACCTTGTTACTTGGTTTTGCACGGTGGCTTTTGATCCACTATTGTGCAGTAGTGCTGACTCAGTCGACAACACTGCGCTAGTCTAGCTTCTTGGATATGATAATATAATACTGGCACTGTCACGTGCGGTGCAGCAATACTGCAGTTCTTGATATGGTGTACTCTGTCTGCTGGGCAAGACATCGACATGGACGGTAAAATCCTGTCCGCATCGATGACCTTATGTCGCAGACACTGTCACATGCTGCGAATGCATACAACAATAACGATATTGACATACAGCAGCATGAGAGCCCGCACTGAAGAACTAACAATAGACTTGCAAGAAAAGATACTCTTTTTCCAGCCAAAGGTTCTTTGCCTCGCATGCCTTCTTCCCTTTTTTTCTTTGCGCCCGCTGCTACTCTCAATTGTATGTCTGTGAAGACAACGACGAGGCTTTTGCCAAAATAGACACACACCCGTCTGACAATTCTTTCAACTTGACAGTGGACGACGATCAACTCGACCGGGGAATGATGACAAGCTTGACTACAAGTACATCCTGCACACAGTTAAAGTCGCCCCTGTTACTACTGCGGGGCGCTAAATGATGGTCCCTCTGTGTGGAACGCTTTTTCACCACATGGCCGATGTAGCCAGTGAGATTCAGCTCAGGTTTGTTCCTATTTTTGACGAGCTAAAGGTCACGTCAGTTTGTATGGTTCTTCCATGTCTCAGCCCTAATTTCCAGCACTTTTGCCAGCCCCTTCAGTCTGATTTCTTTGAATAGTGTTCATTTGACGTGAGTTTCATCCGGCCTAATTGTACCGATGCTTGTATCGTGGTGGACAGTATCAAGACGTGCCTACCTGAACCAAAGTGCCTGTACATTACCGCCGCTTACGTCACTGACTTGCGCAGGCTAGTCATTTCAAGCCGCTGTAGACTTACAACGCACAGTTTCGTCACCATGTTGTCACTTCCACGAAAAGCACTGCAGCAATGGCTCCACTCTACGACGTAGCAGCGGGTGTCGACGAAACATCGTTTTATTATTTCGTGCCTTCAACAGCGTAGCAGTCTGTACGATGTCGCTGGACAGCGTCGCAAGGAGATTCCTTTCCGTCTCACCTCCAGTTTCGATCGACTCTCTTTTGTTCGCAAAGCATGTCCTTGGAAACGGCTGCTGCCGGCGTCGAGTCGACATCGGGATTGAGTCCAAGGCGCCACGGTCGAAACCCACAACGCTACGACAAGTCGCACATAGTCAAACCCAGTCAATCAGTCTCCAGCTGCGTTCGTGCGTCCACGTGGAATGGGGCTGGGGTGGCCAACCATACAAAGTACAAGTGGAAACCGAGCTACCAGCGGCTGATCGGGGTTTTCAGAAAATTGCGACAAATCCTAGAAGAGGGGCAGCAGGAGGGGCCGGGAGGGGGGGGGTCGCGGGCCGAACCAGTTTCCAGGCGTCACACTTGAATCGTCCCCGTCCGCAACATCCGAGAGGCAGTCGACTAAACACAAGCGCGTTTTGACTTCTGATCCTCCTTGTCCGTAGGTCCATACAAAGAGACAGTCAAATCACCAGACGATCAGATCAAACACTTCGAATGGTGGGGTTCCTCCGCAAGAAGAAATCGGACCGCGCAGTGCTCTCGGGCGACACTGTGCTGGACCGCAAAGGCAAAGTGGACAATGCCAGTCTACTAGACGGTGACGGTGAGCCCACAGAGGGCACGCTGTACGACGTGAATGGTAAGCGGGTGAACCACCACAACCAACGAAAGTCGGACGAGGAGAAGCGGTCGAGTCCGAATCCCATGGCTAATGCTGGCTACCCGCTCGTTCTGGCCACGGGTGCGTACCCCCCACAGCAGCAGCAGCAGCCACCGGGTGTCTACGGTTACGCCAACAACAACCCTCCGCAGCAGTATGGCCAACCCCCTCGACAGCAATACGGCCAACCCCCTCAACAGCAATATGGTCAACCTCCTCAACAGCAATATGGCCAACCACCTCAACAGCAATACGGACAATTGCCTCATCAGCATCAGTATGGACAACCGCCTCTTCAACAACAACAGTATGGACAACAGCTTCCTCAACAGCAGTACGGCCAGCATCAACAGCAGCAGTACCCGCCCACGACGTTGGGAGGGCAATACCAGTACCCGGTGCGGTACGGCCAGACGCCGCCTCCGATGCCATCGACCGGTAAACGCTCCCGTTTCCGTCTCCCTAGCATTGGGAAAAAGAGTTGAGACGGGAGAGGTGCCTGCCATGTTGCTGGGTCACACGGCCGAGAGCAAGTGGACGCTGATGGTGGTCACTCGCGCGAGTGAAATGACGTGGTGCATTCAGCTTGTGTGTTGGGGAGACCCGGACCCGTTTGTTTTCTTTGGACCGAGCGACAAGTGGTTTTCACTGCTGTAGCTGTAGCTTTACTTTTCTCTTCCTTATTACTTCATTGCTCAATAAATTAAGGACTTTTGATGTCATGGTTGCGTTTGCTACTTGTTGTGGTTTGTGCAGCTTGCTTTGCTTGCTACAGAATAGAACGGTACGGATGAGGTGCCGCTCTGGATAGTGCGCCGACTCGTGTTTTTACATGCCGTAATCATGCATGAGCTGGCATGCATACAAATTTACGAGGTCTGACCTCAGATAGGACATCGAAAGGTGTTAAGCGAGCTTATCGGATCATGAACGAGCTTTTGGAAAACGTGCACGTTTTTCTATTACTAAGCTGCATTTATTATGGCTTGTGGACGATTGCTCACACCGATGCAATGAATGAGTTAGTGAAGATTCTGGAAGAGACGGATGGTCCCATCGGCGCCACCCGTCACCACCCACGGCTGAATGAACCAAAGAAGTATGAGACCGCAACAACGCAAAAAACGGTGAATATGGTGGTGAGGACATCTCATGCACGACAACACACGTACCAGGACAGGATGGAAAGCCAGCGCCATGACACCAAGGCCACCGGACACCTCGTGGCCGCGCAGAATCTTGAGTGGCACGATCAGCGGATTCTTCATCAAGTCCCTGCAAAAAGATACGGGTTACCATAACAAATGCGTCAGTTTGTGGTCTCACCCAGTTGCTTAACGACTCTGAATGAACAGAAGCAGGGCGCAATACGTACGAGTATACCATGGCGTGAAAGATGTGAATGGTGCCATCATCCGATGCAGAAGCCATGAGAGGGTACTTCGCGTGGAACGATACATCACGAACAGCCTTCTCGTGATACTTGAGTGTCTTGAACGGCCTTGAGGACAGATCCAAGTCGAACCAGCACAACCGTCGATCGTAACTGCCGACGAGGAGGTGGTCACCGTTCGGGTGCACGGCCATACTGGAGATCCACTTGACACCTGACGACAGCTTTTTCACTATAGATTGCTTCACCAAGTTATAAACGCGGACGTGGCGCTGAGCAGCGTGAAAGAAAAACGGCTTGGACGGGTGGAACAGAATGCACTGGACTTGGCCCAAACTCTTCTGGAAAGGGTTCTGCGTCTTACGCTTTGATAGCTGGTGGATCAGTACTGCACCCGATCCTGCACCAGGAGAGACTGTGGAAAGGTAGTCACCCTTGTGATGCCAAGCCACATCCTTCACGTCGCTCGTGTGATGCAGCACAACACGGATGCCAGTACCCACTCGACGTTCAAGCCATGGTCGTCCGGAAGCGCCACTCGACTTGTGCTTATCATTTGTCCCGCTGTAAAACCGCCAAGTTACAGGCACCTTCTTCTTCAGCGCATCAGGCTCCACGGTGGCGTCGGTTTCGTCCACAACCTGGACGTCACCGCTTGTAGTATCCATTGCATCACTCGCCTCTTCAACAACACGAATGCTATCATCGGCGTCGCCGACGAGGACATTCGTCAGTTCTGTTTGGTCTGCGCTACCCGTTCCGGTAGCAATAATGAACACCTTTTTGGCAGCCGCGACAGCTAGCAACTGGTGGTCCTTGTTCGGGTTCCACGACAGCTTGTGTACCACAGCACCAACATTGTACACCTGCAGACAGCGAGCAGTCTCCAGCTCCCAAATACGCACAGTCGAGTCATCAGAGCCTGAAGCAACATACTGGCCATACGGATCCACCGCGAGCGAACGAATACGTCCGGTATGGCCATTGAAGACAAGAGCCAGTGTATTCGGAAAAGGACGAAGGTCCTGAGGCTTTGGCAACTCGGGCACGAGCGATTCGGGGTCAATGTTAAGCTTGCGCTTGTTCACACGAGGTGCCAAGTACAGATCCAAGCACCGCTCAAAGCGGTCGCGCACAAAACCACTGTAGCCGCACAATTCACGGAGCGACTTGAACTTCTTTGGCATGAAATTCGTTTCACGCTCCTCCGGATCGGCCGTTTCCCAAGCGTGACGCTCTTCTTTACTGAACAAGTACTCATCCGGTGGATTGTACGACTCTATATGTCCAGGAAGCGGCATCTTTGGTGCCTGAACGTGTGCAGGCCCCTTCCGAGTTTGCGACTGGTCGTCATCGAACCACATCTGGTACACCTCAGGCTTCTTCTCTGGCTTCTGGTCAAGCTTGATGCGGCCCTCCTTGATACCCTTCATGATCTTCAGCACTTTCATGCGTTCCCACTTTGAAGGCAAGAAACGGCTTTTGGGCTCAATGTCGTTGCCCATCGAATGGATGATTTTGTTTGAGGAGCAGACGTCTACATACTCCGGGTACGCCTCAAATTCCGGGTGGGCAAACGCTCCAGCCTGCATCCGTCGAATGATTTCCATGTCACGGTCCGAAAGAACGATTTTACGATCATTATAAGCATCGTACACCGTGCGGCTGTCGGTCCATGAACACAAACGTCAGTTCTCTACTCACGCCTTGTCCGTAAAACACAGGCACAAAGCTTACTCATAGTTTGGGTCATCCTTAGCAGCAATGGCATTGTCAATACCGTCCCCATTACTCGATTTCATGATCCTTTTACCCTCGACAGTGTACCCAATGTGGTCATATTCTTCATACCATCGCAGCGGCACATTGCCAATCGTGTTGACGTTTTCCTACATACGCAAACGCAACATCTCCACGTTGGTAAGTTTCACATCCAAATACTCCCACGACTTTGTCACTTTACCTCGTCATCAGAAGACAAGTCGTCCACGTGCAGCTGCGACGCCACCGATAGAGACCCGTCTTCACGCATCTTCTGCACTTCCTTCTCACGGTCCACAGTAAAACGACGCGTCTTCTGCTCCAACTCCGTCAAATCAGCATCCTCTGGATCGTCATCGCCACTGTCGTCGTCGTCGTCGGATGACGATCCCTGATCCTCAAACTCGTCGTCTTCTTCCTCGTCATCCACGTCGTCACTGTCCTCCGTCTCGCTCGCATCGCCATCACCTTCTTCTTCCACTTCATCATCGTCCCCACTTTCCTCTTCTCCTTCTTCTTCTTCTTCGCTTTCTGCCTTCTTCACGAGTTGCTTGACCACCTTCGCTGGCTTTTTCAAGCTCCTCGGCTGCGCTTGCTGCTGCTTCTTTGTTACCACATTCATAGCCGTCTTCTTCTTGCGTCCATTATTGTTACTAGTAGTGCTAGGGGTCGAGGCCTTGAGCGGCTTCAGCGTCGTCTTCTTGCGTGCCATCACGTCCACCAGCCCGTGCGTCGCTAATGTTGACAGAGTCGCTCGCAACCAGCAAACCCGAATGTACCAGTTTTGTGTACCACTTTATAAAACAAGGACAGACCCACGAGTTCCCATCCCACTCCTATCCTTTCGTCCCACTTCAAAAACCTTGGCTTTCACCCACCCACACTTTCACCCACCCACACTTCCACCCACCCACGCTCTCACCCATCTCATACCAGGCAGCTGTATCGGAAAGAGAAGCCTCGCCGCGTCCTCTCTCTCTCTCGCAGCGCCTTTTCTACTGATCGACCCGCGACCGTTCCGGCAGCATCGTGTGCTCCGCTCTCTCCTCTACTGAACGAGATCTTGCACGCACGTCGTTGCGGCCCACGAGCCTCGTCATTTACACGCGCGCGCAACATCTCGACGGCTTGATCCGCGCTTCATCGTGTGCAGCGCGGCACTTGAGCGCAACTCGACGCCCTGAACCGCTACTACAAACGTGGGCACAGCCACAACCCGCTTCGGAGCTCGTGGAGCGCCATGAAAGCTGCGCGTGCCAGTTGCGAGGGGTTTCTCACGTTCCGCACGAGTCCGTCCTCGCCGCCGCCGATGCTGCGCCGGTACTGCTTCCTCGTGGGCACGTCGTTCCATTATTATAGGTACAGTGCTAGAAAAAGGCGCACGTGGAGCTGCCGTGTGTTTATTTTTGGATTAAAGCTCACATTGTGAGTTGCTTGTTTTGGTTGTTGTGTTATTGTTGTGTGTTGTTATTGTGTTGGTAATTGTGATGTTGCTGGGGTTTTATTGTGATTATTGTTGTATGTGATCTCGTTTTGTGGGTGTGTTTGCCGTTGTCGGTTGTTGTTCTGGCTGTAGCACACAGGAAGATGCGTACCATATGCTGCGGATCAAGGGCGAAGCAGACGTGTTGGGCGTGCAGGAGTGGGACGGGAAAGGCAATATGCACATTTACACACACGGTTTTTTGTTTGCGACGACGCAGAATAAGGTGTTTTATGCCTATGCTGACACGGCCATGGATAAGGAAAAGTGGATCCGAGCGATCCAGACTGTTGTGGAGACGACTGTTCCGCGTCTGGCAGCTGCCATGCTTTTTCAGCAGGCAACATCACTGGAGGTTGTTCCTTCACCAGTGAGCGTCGTGACGGTGCCGTCGAATGAGACGGACGTGACGTGCAATTGTCCGGATTGCACACGACTGGCGGCTGGAGCTGCGGCGGCAGGCCAACCGGCACCTGCTGGAGCAACGATGTTGTATAAATGCAACAGTTGCGATGGACTCTTTTGCGATAAGTTTACGACGGGCAAAGTGCCGTTGCCACAGCGATCGTGTTACTCTGCTAAGCGCGTGTGTGGTCGCTGCTACGAAGCACAGAATTACATAAACTATTTGCGCGCCATGGTGGAGCGTCTGAAGGCTGGTATTTGCTTGTACCCGCGCCAGCTAAACCCCGAGGCACCTATTGAGCTCATTATGCCGAAACGTCCACTGCAGACTGAGTCGGCTAAAATTGCGATCGACTTACTTAAAGCGAAAGTGATTACCGCAGAAGAATGTGAAGAGATCTTGCTAAAGGATCGACGATTTTACGACCACACGATGGACCATCCTGAGATCCCGCTCGACTTGACAATATTGGGCCTGCACCGTGAGTTTCGTGCACGCACCTTTAGCGTGTATCGTGCTGTTATTTTGCTGCATCGTCACCTGGATAGTGATCCTCTGCTGTTCAAGCCCATTGTGGAAAAGTTGCTTCACTTTTCGTACACACGGATTAACCAAGTAGAGTTTTATTGGCCCCAGATCGTGCACGCGTATTTGTCGATTCCGAACTTTGATTTTGAGAAGATATTTTGGCTGGACGAGCTTATCCTGTCGGTCTGTTCGCGCTCTATTCACCTTGCGCTTCTTCTTCGATGGCAACTTCAAGGTGCACTCGAGGACTCGTTTGATTCGCGGAAACCCAAGGAGATGCAGGACAAATACGCACGTGTGGTACGTTTGATGGTTGAGGTTGAACGTGAGGTCGCTGGCGTCGACCGAGCGACTGTGCTCAGTCGTGATCCACAGCAGGGGACACCGGAGGTACACAAGCGCAATTTGCCGATGCCTACGGACGACCAACTACATTTGATTGTGAAGCTAACGGAGGAGATTGCAAACTATCGCCGACAAGCACACGGTTCTGCTTGCGGCATGTTCTCGCCTCAAAGTGGGCATTCTTTTTTTCAGCCGTCGTTGTCTATGACACAAACCGATCCGAGCCGTAGCAATTCGATTGATGCTGACGCAGATAGCCGATTCCGCGATTTCTCGCGCTTTCAGCAGCATCTGCTCACGCCGAAGGAGAACTTGAACTCCATGTTGCTTTCGCACTGTGCCGCTGACGAATTTGAGCAAGACGAACGGTTATCTACTTTCGAAGAGGAAGATGGTAACAACCAGCCAACCAGCATTTTCAGTGAGTCCATGCGACGCATGAGTCAGACCGACAAGTCATTGCTGGCAAGACATTTCGCTGACGAATGCGATTTCGTTGAGCAGATAACCGATATTGCAGAGGCGCTTCGTTTCGTGCCTTCCATTCAAGATCGAAAGGCCCAGTTGCCATCGTACTTGATGAAATTGCATTTACCTCCGATGGCATACGTGCCACTGGTGAAGGCGACGGACCCATTCGAGCGTATCGTGCGGATACCTACGAAGGAAGGCACTGCTTTCTCGACTAAGGCTCGTGTCCCAATTTTACTGATATTCGAGGTGTTACGCGGTAACCCTTTCGATGAAGACCAAGCGATTCCCGAATCACCGCGATCTCCTTCGACGCAACCTCAAAACGGCAATACAATCGAATCGTGTGAAGTCAACTATGCTGAAGATGACGAGATTGGAGAGCTTATTGGGCACCAAGCCATTGAAGCATTTGGAGATGATGCGGGAGATGCTGACGAGTTTCGATCGCAGTCTTTTGTTCCTTTGCCTGTGGTGTCACAGTTATCTCACACCTCACTCGCCGCTCTTCGTCGTGTGCCGATTCCTCAGACACCGATTGACGTTCCTGACATCGTGTCAACACCGTCAACGGCCCGATCAGTCCGTATGCAGTTTAATAACAAGTCCATGGGTGCTTTGACCACAGACGGCAAACTAACGGCCAAGGGTGTGTCGTCAGTAGCTTTGGAAATGGATTTAGCAACTGGCAACTTGACAGCAGAAGCAGTCGAGCGTGAAAAAGCACGTCGTCGGGACTTTGAGGCAGCTTTTGGTGAATCGTGGAGCTCGAAACGTGCAAGACTGAAGGCTGCGTCGCCGTACGGCCATCTTCCTGGATGGGACATCGTGTCCATGATCGGCAAGAGCAATGATGATCTTCGCCAGGAGGTATTTACACTGCAATTGATTCAAAAGTTTGTCGAGATTTTCAGGAGTGCAAATTTGCCGATGTGGGTGAAGAGGTACCGAATTATTGCTACGAGTTCATCCACTGGGCTCATTGAGACTTTGATCAATGCGATATCGCTGGACGGTCTGAAGAAGCGCGAAGGCTACATTTCGTTGCTTCATCATTTTAAGAAGTCGTACGGGCCGCCTGATTCGCGCCGGTTTAAGGAAGCTCAGCGGAAGTTCGTCCGGTCAATGGCAGGCTACTCGTTGGTGTGTTACTTTCTTCAAATTAAGGACCGGCACAACGGTAATATCATGCTGGACAACGAAGGCCACATAATCCATATTGACTATGGGTTCTTGCTCGGAATTGCGCCGGGTGGAATGTTGAGCATCGAGACAGCACCATTTAAACTGACAGCCGAGATGGTAGAAACCATGGGTGGACAGGAGTCCGAGGGCTTCAAAGAGTATGTGACGCTTTGCACGAGAGGCTTTGTTGCATGCCAACAGCACTGCGACGAAATCTGCGACCTCGTGGATGTTATGTCGCGTCAGTCGCCGTATCCGTGCTTTCTGGGCATTGACGCTGATTATATCTTGTTGCGCTTGCGCTCGCGCTTCAAGCTGTCATTATCAAAACAGGAGACTGTGGCGCACGTGTTGTCGCTCGTCCGTAAGAGCAACAACAACTACAGCACGCGGCAGTACGATAACTTCCAGCGCATGACGAACGGCATTCTTCCGTAGATGATGAATGGCTCGAGGTCAGCATCCAGATGACAACGAGGCGTCGATGAATGTCATAGCGTATTAGAGAAATGAAATATGAGGTGCGTGCGCTCATGCGCTCATGCGCAAAGTGTTTTAGTAGGTGTATACATGCATGTGTCGTCGAGGAACATCCCAGCTACCACCACTTGTGCAACACTCATGCAGGAAGACGCGGTGAGAAAGAGACGACGATTTATCTCACCAAGAAGCTGCTGCAACATTGGTCACCACGTTTCAAAACTTATGCGACCGAGAAGTAGCTGCGGAATCCCACGCGCTTCCGCAACATACATCTCCGGGTGAAGCCTGTGTGAACTACAGCGAGGACCACAATTACGACAGCAAAAGCCAACGCAATTTTCGTGCCCGTGGAAGCATCCGAGATTGTCGTCAGTGACTCGCCCGAACTCTCTGCAACAAGCAAGTTGAAGTACACCGCAGCAACAAGCGAGACGAGCGCGATGAGACCCCAAATAAGCCCCCAGCAACGACTTGACGTGTGCGTCATTTTAGCGAAGACCGACGCGTCGCTCTCGTTCACGCGGCGCGAGATGAGGTCGTCCCAAATATCATACACTGAAAAGAGACAGCTCATAACGCCCAGGAAGAGCGTCACGTACTGCAAGGCGTCGAACGTCGTGCCAATGTTTAGTGCCAACAAGCCCGCAAGTAGCACGATGAAGGAGAAATTCAGAATCCGCAGGTACCCATTGTTTGCGTACACGATGAAGACCAGCAGGAAGAAAATGAGGACACCTGCTGCCACTTCTGATGCCGTTTTGTCGGCACTTGCGATCGTCAGCGCCATGCCCCACATTGCTGATCCCAAGTACCCCTATAATCAGTATCAAGAACGGCCACCACACTAGAGGTTCACACACGAGCAACTGCTGTAGTTTCATTTGTAGCAGCAGCAACGTACCGCTGGCAGAATGACCCACCGCAGTCCACCGACAGTCTTGGTCACACCTCCTTCATCCGGATGCACCTCCATCCCTTTGACCTGCGACCACCACCAGACTCATTAGGCATCACACCAACCCAACAGCAATGCTGCAACAACGTGTGCATCGTCGTACACTGCCACAGGTGAGCCACGCAGCTGTAGCATGTCCCAATTCGTGCAGAAACACGGTCCTGTGGCGTCCAGTCAACAAGGACACAAAGCAGCACACATTTGAGTCAATCATTGCCCTGCGTTCGACCAGCATTGTCACACAGAGACGAGAATGCAGTGGTGTGTGTCGTACAGGATCTTGAACGGGTGGAGGATGGACACGCGCCATCTGCAGCAGAGCAAAAGTGGAAATAGAGATGGATACATTACGGAGTGAGTGAGGGAGTAGATAAGTGCAAGAGAGAAGGAGGTGGAGGGACTGGGGCGGGTGGTACAATTTGAAGATGACGACGGCGTAGCAGATGATGAGGAAAATGGACAGCAGTTGCTTGTCGTTGCAGCACTCGAGAGACCAGTTGATGCCCATGGCGCTTGGGACGACCGACCGCCTGAATTCCTTGGACTGGATTGAGCGAGGACGAAAGGGAGTCAAGTCATAATTGGAGAGGGGTCGGCGGGTTCATAGTCGACAATAACGTGACGTGATTGGACGAAATGCAAGAGGCTCAGCAAACCTGCTATGACTAATCATGTGCAAAAATAGGCGGAAAGCGTCCCACGCTTGGATGGATTTTCAGTTAATATTTACGATACACAGTGTCTGTGCACAACTAAATTAGAAACCATGTGGCTCAAATCCCAGCTCTTCATGACGCCTAAAAACTGATCCAGTCAATCTTTTTTCCCGTCTTCATCGCTCATTTCAACTGCCTCATCACATTCGTCACAGCTCGACGCTAGATCGCGACCCACGAAGACCCGAGCGAGACCCACCACCGTCGGAAGAAGAACGATCTGGGCATTGACGATGCAAAAGTCGGCAATGGAGTTGCCCATCTGTTTCCAACTCCCTTCATTCGTGACAAGAAAGAGCAAGTGCACGGCCAGAGCGTCGGCACAAGAGACGGCCACGAGATGATACCGAGCCACCCATTGCGGCCGTTTGCGCCGCTCTTGCTCTACTGAACCGGACGGGAGCAGCAGAATGAGACGAAAAGCGCTCCCGACCACAACGTGAGGGATCAGAAGCTTCAGCACCACAAGAGCCTGTGAGCCAGAGCCAGTCGAAAAGCGTCCGCTGGACGAGAGCTTGAACGAGGTGATGCTGGCGACGCTGTTGGTGCCGAAGAAAGCCAACTGAGCAAACAGCAGAAGCATTAGCGCTCGCTGGACTTCACGAGCTGGAGACACCCCAATGACGAGCGTCTCTTCTGCTTCAATCCTGATCCAGCTGATGAGGGCACTGCAGAGCGCGACATAAAACAGCACCTCGTGCGCGGTGCTGAGCAAGGCAAATGCAGGTGTGAAAGCTACCGTCACCCTTGTAAACCGGACGAGCATCACGCGGACAGCGTCTTTGCTGGATGGTTGACCTTCGAGGTCATGCTCATTTGCCAGCCGAAATGGTGCTGTTTTGCTGCGGCATGTAGCTTCAATGAGCATCAAGATCGGTGGCGCGACAGCACACGTCCAGTTGGCCATGAAGAGGATGCTGGGTGGTCTCGTCTTGGTATCCAGGAAGTTCGTGGTCCACTGCAGCGTTACAAGTGCCAGGAGTACGGGAAGAGCCCGTACAAGTACTGACAGCACCGCTTTCCACTGAGATCCGGACACGGGACCTGCTGATACACGCCACTCCATAATGCAAGCGAGGGCGAGCACCAGTAACGAGCCAATGTGGACCAGTGACGTGTCCTCAGTGTAAAAGCTCGACAAGCAGGGGAAAACAGCGAGAACAAGACAACTTGCTGACCAACAAAAGCTTGGCGAGAAGAAGTTTTTTCCATGTGAGCGTGTGGTCAACTCGCAGCTATTGCTCTTCTCAAGCACTTTGTCGACTCCAACCCTCGGCCAAAATGCCAGCAGAACGAACAACAAAGTGAACATGTCCCGACGTCTATAGCCAAGTGCGACAAGCTCTAGAAATGCACAAAGTGAAGCAACTCGAAGACTGCAGCGGTACCATGAGTTCCGTCCAGTGGGAAGTCCTGCTTGAAGCTCCTCTCGATGGCTCCAAATAAACTTCCACAGCACAAGAGGACACAAACCGTACAAATAGTACGTAAGTGGAGAGTTGGCGAGATATCGCCACCATATCATCGCCGCCGCTGCAGCGAGAAACTTGACACGAACCGTGTGGGCAAACAACCGCCGGACTCGAAATGCACTGGGATGAAGATAGCCAACAAGCATGACCCCAACCCAACCGATGTACCCGAACACGATCGAGCCGCGCAGAAACATCCAGTCGTACGTCTGGTAGTACGAAATCGCTCTTTGGCAGATATCCATCATCTCTTGGCTCATGATCTCGACGACGCGATGGGCGTCGTCAAGTTTTGCGCCGCTTGTCCCTTCGCTCATATTTCCAATCGCCTCGTCAGTGCGAGCTTCTAGATCGAGTACACGCGAGTGAAGTGGTGTATAAGGAAAAAACAATATCCCTCGATGAGCACGTGTCACCTCTTCCTTGCACGATGCATGCTGGTACAATTGTTGGGCATTGGCACGCATGGCAAGTGCCCGGTACTTGTTATTCTTCAAGTACGTGAACGGTAGCATGCCTACTGAGTTGCGAGGATACGGGAGTCCAGCCAATGCACTCACGAGAGCTGCCACATCTACCTGCATCACGTCTTTGCGCTTCAAGTCAAGCACTGCCTTCCATTCACGCGCAGCTACTCGTTCCTCGACCACTTGAGACTCCAACCGTTCGAGCAGCTCAGCTCGAGATTGTGTCGGGAGCTCAATATCAAACCCTGTGGTTGTTAAAGAGCTGGCCATTTCGGGTCCCTGGACACCTGCACCCCACGCAATTAGCGCCGTCCGAGTCATTGCTGGCTCATCATCTCCATGATCACCACGAAGGTCCATTCCATGGTCTCCGGTAACCACATACGCCGTTTGCCCATCCTGTCCATAATACTCTTCCACCAGCTCCTGTATTTGCTCAATCAATCCGTCCACGACTGCAATGCTCTGCAAGTACTTGGTCGAGTCTGCCCCGTCAATCGGCCCCACTACGTCCGTGCTCAGGAAATGGCAATAGAGCACAAGCTTCTTCTGATGCAATTGAGTGTACAAGTTGAGGTCCCTGGACTTCGTGCCTCGAGCGAACAAGTCCTTCACTTTGGTAAATACCCACTCATCCATGAGCGACGCATCTCTTCGGACCATGTCCATCTCTTCTCGTGCAGTGTAATGCTCTTCTGTGGCTTGAGGGGCATATTTCGCCAGCATGGGCACAACATCCCGATTGCCATAGATGAAGGACGTACTGCTCTGGTTGAACACCGAGTCGAAAGGGACGGGGTGAGACGTCCACTGCGTCGTCACTGCATGCGGATCTTCGTACATTCCTGCAGTTAAGGCGACATGACAAGGTCGACTTTCGGTCGGTACATGGTTATGGGAGACCCCCCAACTGCCCCGATGTCGCATCACCTGACCAAGAAAAGGAGGACGGACATCACCACCGTCAGCAGCTTCGCTATCGGTTATCGTCGAAGTACCTTGGACATGGAGATCATAGTGTGCGGCTTTGCCCGCCACAACTTGAAAGAGCTTGTCAACGCGACAGCCATCGAGGGCGAAGAGAATCACGCGCTTGGCTGGTGGCGACTCGGTGTAGCTGAGACTGGGGATGCCTGACTCGATAGGTGACTGGAAGTAGATGTCAAAGATGCTGGAGATGCACAAGAGATGGAAGGCCACACCCAGGAGCAACAACCGGTTGATGCTGCTGCTGCTACCCATAGCTGTGGAGAACGAATCTATTGACGGCTGTGTGTATCCGGTATAGCGATCAGTGGATGATCGAGTCGTTCCCTGCTTCTGCTTCTCCTTCTGCAAGCCGGGTGATCAGCAGCTCCCTGTCCCTTTTTAGTCCAAGTGAGACGTTCACAGGCTGCGCTTTGGTGATAGCCGTCGTGTGATTTGCATGACGTCATCAGCTGCGAGGTGGGAACTACTGGTTCACAACGTCCGCACGGTCAGCAAACCACGTGCTGTCAAGGATCAAGGTGCGCGTGGCATTGAGATGGACTCGGAAGGACGAGCCCGACTTGAAGAGAGCTAGATACATTCCAGCAGAGAGAGAGAGAGAAATAACAGGGTGTAAGCGCCTAGAGCGTGGCAAGAGGTTGGGAGTGGAAACTGACGTACTGCGGAGACTGCCGTGGTGGTTTTTGTCGTCGCTTGAAGGTGCAGGAGAGCAGAGCTGCACCGTATGCTGTGTCTCTGCGACGACGATACCTCGGAGACCGATGTTGCATGGATTTCGGGATTGCACCACTGCACACACCACCAAGGAACAGCATGAATCATCAACAAGTTAGCACAGTGCATCGGTGAGCCATGACATGACGAGCGATGGATCCCTGCGACGTCTACTGTACCTTCAAGTGGACACCCTGACAGATCCAGATACTTGAGTTTCAGGTGCAGCTTTGCATTCCTTGAGCGCTGCGCTTCCTCAGTGACGTGTTGGACTTCACTAAGTTCATTTTGAATCGCCTGGCTCACATACCGCGTCCAGATCTCCTTGAGCAGCTCGACGTCGTTGTACTGTATCTCGCCACTTAGCAAGTGCAACCCAAGCTCTCGACGTCGACGGGCGCTGAGCAATTTCGCAGTCTGGATGCGACTCGCTGCAGCAATGGTTTTTTTCGCTGCGCTGTCAGCCGCCGCACTTTTCTTGAATGGATTGTCGAGTGACAAGACCTTGTTCTTGAGACTCGCGACTGCATTCGAGTCGGCTTTCGTGCCCCGCGTCACCGACTCAATGTACTGCTTCAGCGTCTCGTGCAACACGCGCGGTTTCGTCAGCGTTTGAACCTGCGGATGCTGCAACAAGGTCCACACATCAGTCAGCTCGTAACAACTCCAACCTCTTCTCCTCCTGCTAAAGCTAGAATTCTCACCAACGAGCAGTCTTTCAACCCAATCGCCAGCAACTCCGTGCTCATCTTTTCATACGCGGCTTCCGTCTGCTTCTTCCCCTGCTTCGCTGCTGTCTCCTTTTTTGCATGGTCTTGGCCCCGTGTTTTGCGTCGACCATTTCCCTCGTGAACGTGCTTGTCGTCGCCCTTCCGCTTCCGTTTCAAGTGCTGATAAGCCTGTTGCTTGTGTTTCGGGGGAAGATCCGACTGGGCGGCAGCTTGTGCCGTGTACTTGGAATCTGTAGCCTGCGCAGTGGACGCGAACGCTGCATCGAGCGTCGAGAGGAGATCGGCTCGCGGGCGTTTCTTCCCTCCAACTCCTGCTTCGGCTCTGGACATGACGGGGTCAGGAGCAAGTGATTGAATGGTGCAAAAGAGCTATTGGGATTCTTATTCCCTTCAGAACTGAACCAAAGAGAACAGTCGGTCCGGAGAGCGATACAGCAGTGAACTGGATGTTTTTTGTTCAGGCTGTCACTTCTGCGGCTAGGATCGTGGATGCGTACGTCCTGTCTGAACCGAAGATAATAACTTGCTACTATTTGGATGTGGTCGGCTTTTCAGATGGACAATCGACAGTTTCTCGTGTTTCCTGCTCGTTATCTCACCGTCACCTCCACATTTGATTGAGGACAGGAGGTCCATGCAAGCTCAGCTCAGCGCTGTATGGCAGTACGACACGAATACAAGCGACATCATCGTGGTTGCAGCTTTCCAAAGAAGCGCATTCACTCTTCATTGTCAATGCAGCGCCTGGCAAAATGAACTTGTTGCACTGCATTGCGATGTGGGAGAAAGCTATTGACGCGGAGCTGGCGAACATGACAAGGAAGTGTAGATCGCATGTCGAGTCGTCCTCGAGCACTAAATCATCTAACATGGACGTAGAGGGCGAGATGCTGGCAATACTTTTTGTCCGGGCGTTTACTGTTCGAATGTGAAACGGTTTTGTCCGAATGTAAAGTGCACAATGAGATAATGCAGATGAATGATGACTCAGTGAACAAATGGGTGTCAACGATATTATACAAAAAAGGGCTCCACGCGAACTGCATGACATTTCCATCGCTGTACAAGCCCAGCCAATCCGATCCGAACGTCAACGTGGCGCCACTAGTCTCGACTGCTTTCGTTACGCAACATACCTCCAACTTTCTTGCCCCTACTACTCTTGCCTATTGTGTGCCTACTGCTTAGTATCGATGGCACTGAAAGTGTGTCGGTACAGGGCTCACTCGCCAACTTCTGAAGCTCCCTCAGTGATTTTGGTTGAGCATTGAAGATGGTGTTCACTCGGCATCGAAACGCAGTGATGACTTGTCCAAACTCCATGTATCCCTGTAGCGAAGAAGAGCATCAGAACCACAACGACACAAACACTTTGTACTCCATCAATGAACATACGCACCGCTCCCATTTCGACAAACAGCGAGTCCAGGACCGGAAAGAGAAGACAAAAGATGATCTCAAACACGTGATTCTCCGCTTCATCGACAACATCTTCCCAGGACTTGTACGCACTCAACGGCCGAGACGACGAATGCGTCATCGTTTGCTTGGTAGACCGTGACTCACTGACACTTTGCGCGATCAAGTGACTGTACACTTTCATAGCATTGGGCGAACAACCTTCCGAATGCGTTCCAGCATCACCCAAACCGAGCGTCTCAGTCAAAATCGACGCCACGTTAATACATGCAATAGCCAGCGGATAATTTTTCATGTTGCCTTCACTCACACCATGCCGCGTGCGCTCCAATATGCGCTGAAACTCACTCGATGGGTATCCAGCGAAGAAATTAAGACAGTACAATCCAAGTAGACCGCTTGAACGAAGATCAGACGCCGGACCTCCTCTTTGAAATCCAATCTCGAGCCACTTTGGGTCATTATTTGACGTAAACGACTCTCCGGGAAAGACAAGATGCCAAAGTTTCTTGATCATCATGTTCACCGTTTTCTGGTCTTTTGGTGGGCCATTTGACTCAGGCGTCACTCTGGCCTTGAGCAATTTGCGCAGCCGAGCCACACACGACTGAAAGACGGAGCGGATTTTCGCCCGCTCCTTCAGCTCAATTTCAATAATCTCCGATGGCAGGCACATTGCCGCTGAGATAGCATCATACCAGGCGCGACACTCGGCGGCGGACGCGCATCCTAACGCCAACCGGCTAATATAAAGAAGACGCTTTTCTTCTCGGACCGCGAGACGAAGACCCTTCAGGGCAACAACATACCACGGCCGCGTGCTGGCATCCCCGTCTGCTGGATAAAACATGATGCAGTTTTCATGCAGACACACAAGAAGGCGGCCACGCAAAGTGGCATGAGGTCCAGCATTTTTAGTCTCAACGCGGCCAGTCTTCAGTGTTAAGCGCGATGACCGCTTTTCAAGGTCGTCACCTGATACTACGTTGTCCACGATCCGTTTCAAGATCGCAAACAAGTCATCACGTGCTTCCCTAGTATCCAAGAAAATCGGCCAAGATCGATGTCGTCCATGAAAATCAATACTGATGCCATACTCCTCTCCACGGGAGCACACACTACTCACTGATATGCCACGAATGTCCGTAAAATGAAACGTTGTGAGAGTCTCCCCTCTCCTAGAATTGGTAAGAGTCTGCTCAGCAAAGTTTAGCTCCAGCACCCTGGTTTGAAGCCGGTTTCGGGAACTGCACTTACGCACACCGTAACGAACTAGAAATCCCTGGATACCGGCTTCATGCCACAGCTGCTGGAAATCATTCACACCATCGAACGTAGAGCGATTCCCCGAGTTGATTGCAGCTTGAATCGCGCACACCCACTGAGTCATCTCATAACTCGATGCCGCTAACATGCAGAATTCACGCTGCGAAGAATCAGCAGACGTCACGACCTTAAATTCATGCTCCTTAGCACCTTTGCCCGTAACAACCATGCAGCGAGATGTCGAGCTAAGATCGACTACTTTAGTTGGTGAATCCTCGTTACTGTCCTTTGCGTACGTCAGCATCGGTCCTTGCGGCATTCGACGCAGCGTAAACCAGCGTTTTCGAAAGCTCGGAACTACCTCGCCACGCTTAAAGATCCATCCCTGTCGGATAATATCCTCTGCCGTCGACATCCTCTGCATCGTCGATCGACGATACGATGCCAGCGATTTCTCACCTCCTTCTTCATCTTGTAAACTGCGTCCAAGTCGTTCAAGATAAATGTCCCGTCCAAATTGCGGGTAAAAATAGCCAAGATCGTCGATCGTAAATTGTCGAGTCAACTGCGCTTCCGCTGCAATGCGGGACTCGACATTCAAGGATTTCGTAATGTACCCAGCAAGAGAAGCTTCAATCCGCTGTTCGTACGTCCCTTGATCGCCGTCACTCAATCGCCGTGCCGAGCGAGTTCGTTTCGTAAATGATGACGACGACGACGAACTGTTGTCCATCGCATTCAGTCCTTCTTCCGAAGCAAACGAAAGAGACCGGTCCGTGCCTTCACTGATACTGCATCGAATCGACGACTGTCTGGCGTAGCTGCTGCTGGCAATTGGCTGTTGAGAGCTCAACGTAGCAGGAACTCGCTCTTCGATTGGTCCAATTGTCTCGTCGTCCGTCAGTTCGTCCTCGTCAATTCCGTAGCCAACTAATCCCGTCAATCGTCCGTAGCCACTACGGCTACTGGTGATCGTCTCGCGGTTCTGAGGAGGCGGCAGTCGCACAGATTCTCGACGGCCAAAGACCAGGTCATTGCCGATCATCGAGTGTCCGAGAGAACTGTCCCGTGCAAAGAAACTTGTACGCACGAGGTCGTCGTCGTCGTCGTCATTGCTCGTAGCGCTGGTGTCTTGCTTGATCAAGTTCTACAGGTTTTTGTTGTAAACATTTATATACAGCATAAGGTACAGGATAACAAACAAGACAAGTGGTGAGTATCGAGATAGAGAGGGAGAGAGCGAGCGAGCGAAGGGAGAGCGCGGGCTTCGTACGTCCAGGGACCAGAGCAAGTCGTCCGACATGTGGTCGCTCATGCTGCTGCGCGCAGCTTTGACGACTGGGTCACGGCGAGAAACGGGAGCGTGGGCGAGAGAGAGAGAGAGAGAGAGGACGAACGACAGACGGAGCGTTCGGGCCGTACTCAGCACCTGTTCAAGAGCACTGAGTCGTAGTAGGGACGGGAAAAGTCAGCGTACGATCGTGACTACAGTTTAGGAGCCATTTTGGTCGTACTAAAAAAAATGCGCCTCTCTGGTTGTCTGTTCTGACAACTACGAGCGTGCACGTGAGTTCAGATAGAAAAGACGTGCGCGTGTCTCATTGTTTGCACAATCCCCCCATCGCGCTTTGACTGGCTATTTTGTGGCGAGCAGGACCGATTTCGAGGGGGTGGGCGTTTGCAAGGAGGATGGGTGAGTGTGTGTGGGACACACATGATGGTTATCGACTCGTTCGACCAAAAATGAGAGGAAAGATGTGTTTCAGATTACCGCTTGACCTAAAATAAACGACGACAATGTATCAGAACGGTGGCGGTGCAAGAATTGGGGATTTCGAGAGGAGAAGATCACAGAAACACTTGAATCTGAACGCGTTTTTACCCTCACTTCTCCACGTTGCCTCAATCACATACAAGCTGACAACATCCTTTTGAGCTGGTGACTTGAGAGCACTAAGTGACGTGATTTGGTCATGCACGAGTCAGTATTCTCATAGTATAGGAAAATTAGTCGCGCACCCGAACCATCTCTCGGCTATGTCTTTGCAAGATTTTGTCCATCGGCACAAGTGTAAGTCAATACAGCTCATGGAGGCTTTCTCTCTCATGGCAGGTAGATGCATAGCGCATTCTGGTGGTCACAAAATTCTTGGGTACGTAGTTAGCCAGATTTGACGCCGCTGGTGAGGTTTAGAGGGGCAGCGTGTCATGCCGCCATGCATAAGAAAGTCCAGACAGCCAAGGCATTTTTCGGTCGAGATATTCTGGACTGTGTGCAGACGGCACGGACGTTTTTCATCGCGCTTTTCTTTATCTGCATGCTAATGGCTCCGAAGAAGCATTCCACGACTTGCTTGACCACATTTAGTGAACAGATGTGACTTCTACTGCTTGACGAGGCTGGAGACACGTGACGTTAGTTGAAGCATTCGCAATTTAGGCAAGAAATGTCGTGAGAATTAGCGTATGATGGAGTCAACGAAGTACATTGTTGGCACGGGTTCTGTCATATGGTGACTTTTTTTGGTGACGAAGACTGTGCGCCAAATTGCAGAAAATGTCGATCCACTGGACGAGCAATATGCTGGATTTACATCATGCGTCAACGCGCCTACCTGCTCCAAGTCAATTCTAGCACGTTGTCGCTTGCTGACCACATCCTAGACATCACCCCCCGCACACACATTCATCGTACCTGAAGGGAATCTAGTGGGCAGAGACATGTATAAGAACTTGACTAGGTCACGATGTCGCCCTGCGTTTGGCGAAGCAGAACTGCCAAGTCACTCGTCAATAACAAGTATCGAAACGAAGATTGCTGGAGCTCTTACGCCCTGTAGCGTAGTGACTGCGCATTACATCCGGTAAGTCATGTAGGTTTACTGCATGCTTACAGCGAATTCAGTAAGAAACGGCTGATTAATAGCGATTTCGTAAGAAACATCATGCCAGTTATGCGTACGAGCTAAACGCGACGTTAAAGTCAATGCCTTGGTTCGATACCAATGAAAGGTTTCGAACAGAACTGGTGAGGATTCATCGCTTCAGCCACATGAGCTGTGTGCTGTGATGTAATCTAGTGGGCTATCGCTTGGTCATCTTACCGCCTCAATCATTCTGAGTAGTTTAACAAAGTGGTTGAGCACAAGACACGTCCTCAATCAAGCCACCGGATCAATCAGCACTGTAGACGCGGACCTCGTACCGACCATGAAAGTCACCATTTGTAAGCTGTGCATTTCCTTGTCCCGGCGGGTGTAATATATCGACAACAGGGCGCACCGTGATAAATCTGATCAGAAGCAGTTCTGAGCATAACAAAAGCATATGCTTACAAGAAGGTATCCGCGCTATCAAGACACTTACCGCAGTACGTCTATGGTTTCGACCAAACTGCAGCTCCATGGAGCTAGCGTGATTGACTGGTGATGCCCTGCTTAAGAAGTCAGACTTGTATTGGCTTGAGGCATGCGATAAGCGTATGGTTAGCAGCTCATCCCACCCTTTCAGCTCTCATTTTCCTGACAAGCAACTGATAGCGCATATTCCTACCATCCTTTGTCTTCTACCCAATCTAGCTTCAGTATTGATATTATGCTCTGCAGCGATGAAAGTCCATTGAAAGTCTAGCTATTATCGGCAACTTGGAGGTTCGGCGAATGTTGTTGACATGCAACGTGATTGACCGCAGGCGGTAGGCATTTGTGATGCATGAACTACATTTAACTGCTCAAAATCATTGTTAACGTAGCTCAATTGATACATGATTAAGCTACCTAAATCATCCGAGCAGTCGATAATAGTTCATGTGCTATTTCTTCATCATTGGTGCATTCTAGTAACCTAATATTGAAGACTGGATTAGAGCATTGTAATTGCTAAAACTTCAAATGATTGCTAATCTCATTTGATACGTAACAACTTCGCGTCCACCATCAAACCACACGAATCGTGTCGAACAATTAACTCACCACGTATAGATGACATTGTAGACGGCTGGCGATGTCGTGTAATATCGAAAGTTGAAGCACACCGACAAAATAGATGTCGGGTAAGCTATGTCCAAATGTCGATGATCAGGTTGACAGCTTACAGAGATTCAACTGACCATACTCGCGGTGTCAGCGCAGAAGGCATTCAATACGCAAGATACGTTTGCTTGTACAAGTTTTGTTTTGTCTTGCCAGTGGGCATCCGACCAAACGCGTTCGTACAAGCGAGCACTCGTCTTCGTTGTAGTAGGAAAAAACTGCCCTGTCAGCTCTTCTGCGAGAGTCGAAGCGTCTATTGCAAGAAAGAACAACGTGCAACCACGCCATCACAAATCGACGGTATTTTGTGCGTCAGTCCACCTTGTCATGACTACAATAGGGCTGTTGAGATCGCCAACACTACGGTAATTAGTTTTACACGATCGATAGTGAGTGACTTGCTTAAATCAACTATGAATGCTGCGCGTACATAGCACAGCTAGCAACCTTCAGGTGTATGTGTCAATCATTGTTCGACTTATGATCAGCGTCATATGCACGAAGTCAAATGTTTTTAGAGCACGATCGACAAAAAATCTTGGCTCACCGTCTTCCTAACCACGCAGATACCAGCTGGACATATGTGCTGAAGCAGATTGCACCGCGCTAAGCCTCCAAAGGTCAAGTGCCATCGAGTGTAATATTACGGGATAGATACTTCCGCAAACCATCTGATGAAAGCTCACTCATTTAGCCTTTGTTTATTTCATATCTACCGCAGACTTACGTGACCAGATATCGATCTTTGTCCCTTTATACGCGATGAGCATTTCCATTTCCTAAGGTCCAGACGCAGAGCTCACGACAGTAAATGACTGCGCAAAAGAAATGACCCGCAGAACATTCTTGCTCGATATCACGTGACATCTTTGAGCAGAATGATCAAGCGTTTCTGATGCAGTTCTTACCTAGATTTTATTGCTGCAGTCACATGAGCCACCGAAGAACGCGCCTATACCCCGTGATGGCAAAGTGATGCAAGCATTTATCAACGCGGTAATTCAGAATTTAATTGCCAAGCTTGAAAATCGCTATTTTTGACTACTGATAAAACAGTTATAAGCCGTAGGATGACAAAATGACCGAGTGTGGTATACTCGCACATCACCTTTGCCCCTTTCATGAGCACGATGAATACAAATCAGTTTCCAACGATTTTGCTGACGCAATTTGGGATACTTAACTATGCCACTTTTTGCCTATACACGCATGATTTGTACCGGCTGTATTTTTATCTTAATTGTTCTATGCCAGCGGTCGTCAAGCGAAAGGTCACTTTTATCGAGCTCCATGCACTCTCACCGGCTCGCGTCAATATCGACAGAGCGCATCAGGATGATTATCCACAGAGCATGTGCTACTGAAATGTTGCTTCGTCATGATTGAGATAGTAACTACTGTGTTTACCGGCGACTTCAATCTATGGAATGAGGTACAAGCATCGTTGGAATTTAACAGCCTTCAACGAGGTTCAAAGCTATGTATTCTGTGCGTTCACCTAAGTACTCTCATTGCAATTTAAAAATAAACAGAGATCAGGCGCTCCCTTCTGACGCGTGCTAATTGTAGATTATCGCAGACTCGTACGGTCGGCCGACCATACCACTTCCTCAGTCTTCAGTGTCGTGGGCCAGCCGTAATATATCTAGTGTTGCTCTTACTTTACGCAGCGGTAATTACGCGTTTTTCCCGAATCGATTGCTACGCTAAATGCTTATGGCGAAGCCATGGCGGACGGCATCGTGTTTGACAGCCGCTACGGCATACTTCTGACTGCCGAATTGCATTAGCCGAAAAGGGACTTTCACAACTCCATAATGTAGTAGAGATTGCAGGAGTGGCATCGCTTGCAACAGCAGGAGCTGTTAGAGTAGACACGAAAAGTGCTTACCATTCTAATGGTGGTGACGGATGTCAATGGGTGCTTACAGGGTTGGCCTGGCCTTTCTTTTAACGACCGCTGACATAGATGATTAATATTTAGGTATATCCGATACAAATAATGTGTTGATAGACAAAACGTGGTTTTTTTAGGCAGAAAGTACAGTCTTCCCTCTGCTAAGTTATCCCCGGCTACGGAATAACCTCCGGTAAGTTATAGGATTCGGTCTCCACCGACCTCGTTCTATGGTGACTACGGAATAAGTTATTCGGAATAGCCTGAGGGCCAAATACAACTTATCAGAGGAAATATATTTTTGTCCGCCGTGAGCAGAAATATTGTACGCAGAACCTTTTTTTTTGTTATTCACTGCAAGAAAGGAGTGGAAAGAGGAGAGGGAACTACTTCAGCCAGGAATCAAGTGTGGCCTGAGTGGTGCTCGCACTACGGAGATCAGCTTGGACTTGGCGAAGGGTCCGGTGAGCTTTACGATGGGACTCCTGAGAAAGGTCGAGAAGGGCGATGGATAGACTAAGGCTGGCAAGCTTTTCAGCCTTCGAATGCTTTTCCACCTCCTCCTCCGCCTCAGCAGCACCTTCCTCCTCCCCATACGGATCCTCAACAAGCTTGATGATTTCGGCATCGGTCAGCTCCGCATGCGCCGTCTCCTCCTCCTCAGCCGGATTGATAAGAGAAGCGATCGATATGGGATTGCGGAGCGGGAGCCTTTCCAGCGCCGAAACAAGATCCTGTTCCACGCGCTGCTCCTCTACTGCAGCAGCAGCTGCCTCCTGCTGGGCCTGCCGGCCAACAGTGCCGGCTTCGTTTTCACCATCACCAGTCGGCAGAGCCGGACCGTCCATGAGTCCCGTATGATGGAAGCAGTTGGCGATTGTGGCACTGGAAATCTCGCTCCACGCAGCCAGCGACCAACGCATGGCCGTGAGCTGATCAACCTTGTAAAGGTTGGTTTCTCTGCTCTCGTCACGGTCCAAGGCATTCTGCAGATGCAGCCGGCGGTAGTGCCTCTTGAATGCGGCAATAATCCCAGCATCCATGGGTTGGACCTTTGAAGTCGTATTAGGAGGAAGAACCTGGACCGTGATGTTGGTGAGTTCCAGGTCAGCAACAATGTGTGAAGGAGCGTTGTCCATGAGAAGCAGGATTTTTCTATCCTTTTGCTGTGGTCAACGCGTTAGTCAAACCTCCTTTACTGTACCACAACGATGATGTTCAAGGCATGCCCCAAATTACCTTCATACTTTTGTCGACGTCTCCCAGCCATTCCTGGAAGAGTATGCCAGTCATCCAGGCTTTCTTGTTGTTGCGGTAGAGAAAGCCCAGTCGCTCAGCTGTCTTGTGCTCAAAACACCGCGGCTTTTTGGCGTGTCCAATGAAGAACGGCGGGAGTTTGTCGGATCCATCAGCGTTTGCCGTGAGAGCAACTATGATGCGCGTCTGGAATAGTTGTTAGTCTCAGAGAAACGCAGGAAACCAAGAGGAGAGTAATACTGTACCTCGTCTTTTTTGAACCCTTCGACCTCTTGCTGGGCGATCGTTTTGTCGGGCGTCATACTGTAGAACAAACCTGAACAGAAAGTGAGCCTTTGAGATGCTTCTGTACTGTACAATGAGTACAGTACTGTACCGTATTCTCAGACCTACCCAGTTTCGTCCATGTTGTACACGTCACGTGGCGCATAACCAGCAACCACGGCTTTGAGGTGTGGAAGAGCCTCCTCTAGAGCGCCCATATCTGCTGAGCCACTCTCGCCATGAATGCGGACAGCTCGCAGTTTGTGGCGTTGCTGGAATTTGTGGAGCCACCCATGCGAAAAGCTGATGTTTTCCTCCGAGACGCCCATTGATCCCGCAAAGGTATGAGCCTTGGCCCGTATGAGATCTCCAGTGAGAGCGACCCCACGGTGCTGGCACTGCAAGATCCAGAAGGCGACGGCCTCCTCCACAGCTGGCTGCTGGACAGTCCGAGGACGCTTAGCGCTGAGGTCAGTGGTGTCCATTGCCTCAAGCTCCTTCCTTTTTTTTGATGATTTTGCTGATCGCTGCCTGGGAAAGTGCCTTCTGGAGGTCAAAGGCGTCCTTTGTCCAAGCCGCCAGGGCAGTCTGGGTGATGCGCGGGTTAGCATCCTGGTGCTTGCAGATGCGCAGCTTCTGCTTGTTGGTAAGACGTATCTGCGACATCTGTTGTGAGTGAGCAAGGTACAGCTGGTGGAACTTCTTAATTAGAGATAGCAAAAACACCAGAGACTGGTGGGGCAACCAAAATCACAAAATCTTCATAGGGCACGTGACACGTGACAGACAGGTTTTGGAAGCCTGGAGGTTTGTTGCGTTTTTGATTCTTTAATTTAATTAAATTTATAATTTTTCCGCAGCATACCTCTGCTATGGAATAACCTCTGCTATGTTATAGGATTTGCCTTCCACCAAGTCTATAACTTAGCAGAGGGAAGACTGTAGTGTTTTTTGGAATAGGCTAAAGCGCCGATACGGAAAGACTTTACAGCCGGTATCGATGGCCGGTAACGAGGTTTTGGCCAATAAAACCTGCTCTGGTCTTTTGGTCAATTCAAATTCTCTTTTATGCTCTTGTGTGCGTTTATAGTGGGTTGGTTCATTTCTACCCGAGAAATTTCACATGTTGTTCCTCAACTGCCCAGATACCTACTATCAGTAACTTACAAGATTTGCGACTCAGTAACGTACGTTTTCGCACACTTGCTTCACCCTATCTACCGGCTGCGTCCCCTTTGGGAACAGTCGATGGTGCAATTTATATACATACCTAGGTGGGTGCGGTGCAATCGCTGGGGTTTGAACCCTCGCTTCCCCGGTCGAAACAGACGTGGCTTATCCACTGCACCGCCCCGATCGGTAGATACTTGGACGGGTAGATAAAATACAGCAGCAGGTATCACGGACATGATCAATTCAATTGGCCTCTCAAGTGTTATATATATTATTTCAGAGAGGAATAAATAATGACTCACACAAATATTAGCCATCATTCTTCGACCTCTTCATTAAATCGATAGTTTCTACGATCAGTCAGTCAATACAAATCATAGTTACATCCTATCATGTTAATTTTTGTGCGCGTTTAGAGTTCGCGCATGCGCGGGTTCGTCTAATGTGCATATACTTGATGATAAATAAACGTTTATTGTGTCGTCCAGATACTTTTTTGACAAAAATTTCGATAGCGACTAGCCATCAGACTCAGCTCAAACTAGCAGAGCTGCATATTTTAGAAACTTGTCGGACTACAGTATCTGCAACGTTCTATTCCTTAGCATTAACAAGGATGTCAAACCCGATTCTACACCTCGTTTGTAGGTTAAAAAGGTAGAGCTGCAGTCCTTCCCCTGATAACTAATAACCTCCGATATTTCATAGGAGTGGACGTTAACTGAGGTCGTTCTTCGGTTGTTCTATGATTGATGACTTACAACATATAACATATAGCCATGAAGCAAGATATTAGTATACAGATGGAGAATTTATACCAAATGTGGGCGGTTAAACCCGTTCAAGCCATGCATTAAGTGCAACAAGGCACCCCTTTGTCTGTGGTGCCACGAATTTTCACGTACACTAGTACGTGCAGAGGAAGCTAATCTACTTAAACAGCTAGTTTGAGTAAAGGTAAAAAGAGACCTTCATCTAATATAGTTAAGCTGTCAACGTAACTTTAATCTTTGTCTCACTATATTAAACTAGGTCGTCGTATGACGAAAACCTGCTCAACACTCATTACGCGCGTCTAGCAGCGATTGGTGGTAATCATGGTTGGTCGATCTCAATCAACCAATCTTTGAGCAGTGCATTAATATCATTTAAAGGGGATAATATTCTTTCGATATTATCTATCCCGGATGATGTTGATAGAATATTGTCATGCTAGACAATATTCCTATTGACACCGTTTGGTGTCAATTTCATGTAACGGGCTACACCGTTACATTGAGGGTGGTTTGGTGAGTAATTAACAAAACCTGGTGGGCGTTAAACATTTTCTTCATTTGGTATAATTCTCTATGTACAAAGCTACTGTAATCCGATAACTAATATCCTCTGCTTAGTTACAAAAATATTTGTCCGGCAAGGCTTATGTTTTGGATAAGGGAGATCTGTAATCCTAAATTGGTGCTAAAACTAATGAGTCATACCGAGGAATGATTATTATCAATTGGTTTTTAAGACAGGTAATGCAAGGTGCAGGCACTACCTAAGATGGTAATCTTCTCTTTTTTGGACAATGTGTCTGGACTTGCCTCCTCCTCTCCTTCAGCCTTTTGTTTTCATTCCTTGTCTTCCCACACTGCTTTTCGAATTTCGTGATCATTGAGCTGTGGCTCAGCACTATCGTCTTCTTTAATTGAGTTGTTTACTTCATTCATAATGATTGAGAAAGAAATTACACCGTTTTTTTCTAACGCAGAACAACAACCCTAGCAAACGACCAGGGTGGCTACGTGTCTTTGACCTTGAGACACAACCTAAACTAGCTTTAGAAACAAAAGGTGAGGACATGCACTACTGGTCTCTGGGGCTATAATTCTGCCGGTTTTGGGTAGATGTTAATCTTGGGGTAAAAGAGAAGCGTGTGGTTCTGAATGATGTTTTGAACTTTTCAATCCATTATTTTTGATTTTTTGCCATATTGTATCTGGTAAATATTAATAATTTAAAGGTTGTTATATTTTTTTTGATTTTGTTTATGTATTTTGATTAGGGAGCCGTTGACCACCCAACGTTTTTCATCAACCACAAACCGTCCCTTTTAAATTGCATTACTCGATACAGTTTCCATGTCTTTGGTTGGTCGTTTTACAGTGTCATGTTGGTAAATACTGACCGCCAAAACCAATGCAATAATTGCGTTCATTTCTTTTAGCATATACGCTACTTTACAACTTTTAAAGGAACTATTGCAACGCATGGGAAACATAGTCAGTCATTTAAGTATGGCTCTGATAACGCCTCTAGAAACTGTCTACGATACGTTGGAGCGATTTCGTAAGGCACTTAGCGATCATGCAGGAGCTACAGCCATACTTTCAACGATCAAGTTTTTTAAGAGGGTGAGTAACAGGAAAGATGGAGCAAGCAAAAGTAATGTTGATGGTGTTCACTAAAAATAGACCCAATCGAGTTGATGTCAACGAAGTATCAGCAGAAAGAACGATGAAGCGTACAAGGGTCAGGAAAGCACTGGATGCAGCTAGAGGCTGTCACTTAACGTGCAGTTGAGCGATGGCAAGTTTCAGTCATGAGAGGGATGCTCAATAATGAAGCCTTAATGAAGACTCTGCACATACAAGCGGTCGCGAGTTGAACAAGGAGGCTCGCGAACGATCTCCTCTTATCAACAGTGCTGGTGTCAAACCTGGTACTATTGTTGCTTTTCTCCGCAATGACAGCAGCATAAAAATCACCGCTCAATATCGTTTACAACATCCGTATTAATAATCAAGCTGAAAAGCTACAAGGAATAACACCTCTCCTTTTGATGTTCGTGTTGCTTCAAGCGTAATATACTCACTGCACGCGAAGAAGAAGAACAGAAACTGACACACCGTTCTGTTGTTTCTCCCTCGGCCAAGAAGATTGGTTCAGATATGTTGCCAGAATATTATGGATTCTTGACTCGGCACACAAGACCAATAGGTATGGATAACACTTGCTCCATATTGTCGGATTTACCAGCACTGACCCAACCTTACTCTGATTACTGCTTCATTCAAGCAAAACGAGAGGCAAGCTACGTCTGGGTGATGCAGAAGCTGCTGCAGTAAATGTTTGAGATTGGTACTATTCCCATTAATTTTTAGCAGAACGCGAGCTGGCCTCGATGCACGCGATTGACATGGTCTTCCCAGTTGTAAACAAGTCGCTTTGCCGCTTGTCAAGCATATGGCGTCCTTCTCCACTCACAATGCTTCTGAGGCCTTCCTTTAAGCCTAAAGCATCTAGGTGCCACAAGATCAAATTAAGACCTGCAAGCGAGGTGGCAAAATATGCGCGATAGATGAGCCTTTTTTATCTGCAGGTCATTTGATAAGTTGAAAAAACGTGGCTGTGATGGAGAGAGAAGTTCGTAACGTATTTTTTGCAACAAGCAGCATTATGGACATGTCACCACGCCTCGCGAGGAAAGCTCGCTGAAACACTGGATCAGATCCTCGACTGGAGATCTTCTGTATGTCAAAAACAATCTAAAGCTAGCTTGCGCTGAAAACTGGATCGAATCAAGTCACAATGTGCAAAAGAGCGAGCGACAGTTGCCATCCTATTTGGTAGAATGTTTGCCGACGCCACGAGCAAGAATTCGGAATCTGGCCTGCTCGCATACTTCCACCACTACAAAAAACGTTTTTATCACGATGATGATAAAACAAGGCCGTCGTTGATTGCCAAGGTACTGTAAGAGACTTTTTCAGTTTGTACAGTATGTGCAGCACATACTAATTTGAGCGTTTTTACAGACTTGTTAACGTCAATGATGGGATACCCTTGCCGACACTTCTTTTCCGCTAGACGCGTGTTGATGACAGTAAATAATTTTGACAAGCATTGGTGGCTGGTGCAGCAGCTTAAACTAGCTAACCCACAAGATGTGTTAGACCTGCCAACTGCATGGGAGAAGATGCTGACAGATTATTTAAATGCCACCAGGAACCAAAGAAGAGAGACCGTAGAAAATGTTTTAGAACTATCCGATGACGTGCGAGATCCTAGGCGGATAAAAAGTCTTGATAGGCATGTTGGTGCCTTCTTTTCTTTCTAAAACATGAAGCGCGATCCATCACTCTTCGATAATGAAGAGATCGTGCTAAATCACCCGTAGCATCTTATACGTCGAAATTAGGTCGGTCAGGTCACACCTTTCAAACTTGTCGCAAACCAATATCCCTTAAAAACACGTAAAATCTTGTTATTGTAAGAAGAGAAAATTCTGGCTAGAGAAAACGCGTGCCACCTCCCTGAAGTCGTTCGA